AATTTGCATGGTCTTTCAAATTAGTCAGGTTTGCTTTTGATTTTGTAAGGTTTCAAAATCATAGTGGAAATCTCAAGCGGGTTTTGCTTGGGGACTGGATGTACACCGGGTTGGTGGAACCAGTATAAAACTTTGTGTTTGTGATTGTGAATTTCTGAGATTACCATTTTTCTTTGCAATTTATAATCTACTTTGCATATATTTTAAAAGAACACTATTCACCCATCTTCTAGTGTTCTAGTGTATCTATTTCAGATCCTACAACCCCTTCGCATGACCAAAAGGGCCTTCAATGCTTCCTCTGTGCTGCCAATCCCAGATGATTCGCGAAGCGCGCTCGACGACTGTGATTTGGCTACGACTTTCTCCTGTTGTTTACTGCTATGAACGACTTCGAAATCGTTAACCGATGCTTCCTTTGACGATGACATTTCACGACAAAAACCCTAACCAAGATTGAAATCCAAGTGGCAAAAATGGTGGCTCCTCAACAGTAGAAGAGAAAGAGGGAGATAGAGTACTTGAGTAGGGAGGGGCGCGGTTACCGAGTTCGGTCAAATCAGAGGGTGAATTTGTAACTTCAACTGAGTTTTTCTCGCTGTCAGCAACTTTGGGGTCTTAACACAAATACACCGTGTATTTGGTGCTGAATCACATGGCCCAAAATACAGAGGGCCAGATCACATGGGCTTCCAATATTTGGTTCCGAGCAAGAAGCAAAGAAACAACGAGCGTCTAATTACTTATGTGCCTTGTGAAGCAAACGAAGTCGGGCATCAGCTGGCGAGGTTTGAGCGGCAATTAATAATGCGAGTGTTTGGCTCGAAGAGTTACATCAGAAGTTCTCTACTTTTCTGAATGCTAATTTAGCTGAGATTAATATCGTGGTTTCCTTCCGTCTACGGAGGATCCTCATTAAAAAAAGAGAAAGAAAGATTTAAGGGGCTTATAAGGAAAAGGTTGTAGGGGCTGGCTCGTATACCCTAACTTCATTTTAGGAGTTATCTCTAATTTACAGTACTTATGTATTTACGATATAAATTTTGAGCGTTGTCATTTTGGGTTAATTGCAAGTAGCCCCGTCTATGACGATGTTTTGAACTACTAGCGGCCAAAATGAACTATTAGGAATAAGTAGGTTCAACAGATAATGCGAGGGGGCCTGAAAGCCATTTACTTGTGTTTTTTAAATACTGTCTGTGTCCCCACGAATGTTACCGCTATTTCAAGGATATTCTTAGCACATATATTTATTATTATGGTCCCTTGTATGAATATCTGAAAGATTTAAAGGTAAAGCTAAGAGCATATTGCTAATTAAATATTTCGCTCATAAAATTATGGATATCGGTCCTCGTTTGAGGCTTATTGCCTGTATAAAAATGGAAATAATTTTTTCTGGTTCGTCATACGAATATTACCACTATTTCAAGGATATTCTTAGCATGTATATTTATTATTATGGTCCCTTGTATGAATTTCTGAAAGATTTACATGTATAGCTAAGAGGATATATATATCGCTAATTAAATATTTCACTTATAATTTCACAAGTAAACGTCCATAATTTTATTTGCTATTTATATTTTATTTAACTTACATATTGTTTTATTGCGGATAATATAAGAATACATTTGCAAAACAAGTCCAAATAAAATCTTGTTGAAAATTATATAAAACAATGAAAATACTGTATTGAACGTAGATTCGTATAGTTGGGACGACAGCAGTAATTAGTTTTTACTTGATATATTGAAATCATGGTAGCCGCATGTTTGTATCAAAAATTACTCAACCATAAGAAGTTGTGTTATTTAAGTTGTTAGGAGTTTTTGTGCTAATAAATTTATGCACACAATAAATTAGAGCAAAGTTTTAATTAGTGAACTATTTGTTCTTTTAATTGGTAAATTTATATATGTAGTTTATTTATATATTTCATCTAATTTCTGTACCAGCCAAACTCAACACTACAATTTAATCTGAAAATTTAAAAGATTGATTTCTATTATGGATCTAATAACTAATTTATGTATCTGAGTGGGATTCATAATCATCATAATATACCTGTGTTCTTTAAAGTTCTAGGTATTCAAATCAAATTCAAAACTCGACCAAAAGGGAAAGGCTAACGCTTAATTTCTTTGCCTAACTAAGACGTTGAATGTGGTTCGCGCTTCACATTGATTTTACTTAAATTGGACGGCACTGTACTTTAAGTCGTACATCAAATCGCAATCTAACTGTATGCACTTGTACTCTCTTTTTCTTCTACACCGACACCTTAAAGAATCGTTCATGGCAATGTCATGGATTTCTAGCTCTAGTAGCTGTGGATAATGACGTGTAGATACTTGGCTATTACATTAGCACGTAGATACCAGGCGAATAAAATTCACAACAGGAAAAGATAAAATGAGTTCGTAGCTAATGTGAGTTCGTAGTTGAGTTGGGCTAGACAACTATTAATAATATTCAACACGTGGATATTATGAATCCGATTCTAAAATTTGTAGTTCGGAATTGACAATCCAAATAGATAGTGGAAGCGATCTGCTATAATTGAACCATTAGAAACAGAATTTTAAAGATTACAAAGCCATGGGTCATGTATCATCAAAATCAACGATTCATAATTTTCATAAAGTAACTTAGTTTTTTGTCCCTAGAAAACATGCATGGCTCAAAACACATCGAGAACCTTTAAAAAAGAATTTCTAAGTAAATAACGTATAGTAGATCATATCCACCGGTTTAAATTTTTAACTTCGGATTTGTGAATCGGGTTGATAGTATCTGCTTGTTGAACATTATTAATAATAGTAAGCTTGCTCTACTCTTCCTGGTTACTAGACAATAGTAGAATTACTCTTTGCCGTTTCATGTTTTTAAAGTTTGGCTAGCTGAAATTTTGCTAAGGAAATGAGCGAATTAGAGACCTTAATAAACTTTTTTCTTCTTCCTGTTTTGTTAACTAATGATGTAACGATCTTTATTTTTAAAATCCTACCATTAAGTAACAAAGTAGTATAAATAATTATTGCTAGTATGTTTCATGACTACAATACAATTAATCTATCAATAACTTATTGTTGCGTTAACTAACGTCCTTGAAACCGTCCGATGTTGTTCATTAAAAAAAGATTATGTTGAAGATTCATTAATTTCCCGCTACTTAGCACTTAAATACCTTATCGTATCCCTTATTATATCACCAACTTCGTGCTTACATACCAATCACTTGCATACCTATAAGTTTTTTAACTTGATATATTGGTAATTTAATATTATATGCAAATGTGAGAATGTTCCATACGATATTCACACGATGACTTTAGAGCTTTTTAACGCTTAATATTTATGAATTACTACCAAACCAATCCGAAAACTATTTTAAATCTATCCAAATTATATTTTAAGATGATTTTGGGATAGACTCAGAGAGGTTCAAGGTAAAGGAGTTCTAAAATTTAGCATATAGGTGACATTTATCAAGAAAAAAGAAACATATAGGTGACATAAGAATATTTCAAAGAATATTTTCACATTTTCATATCAGAAAATATTAAAGTGTCAGTTATAGAAACTTAGGGTACATAAAAACTTTCAAAACAAGGTGAGAGCATATTAGTGCAAAGTAGAGGAAACCAGGAGATATTTAAGTGCTAATTAGCATTGATTTTGTAGCAAAGCTAAAAATATACTGTTTACTTGGAGTGTTGAATTTACTCTAATTGTTTCAAAAAACCTGGATGTTTGTTTTTAAAATGGGCCTTATCAGGTCATTTAGCTACGCATGTTACATACCTTATTCTTTATAATTTGAGTTAAAACTATTTCTTCAAAAAAAAAAAAAGGAAAGGAAAGAAATAAATCTCTAAAAATTTAAAAAATATGAAATCAAGTTAATCTATAATGTCTGTGAGCATGTTTGTCAACTGATCAAAGTTGCTTATAAGCCACTTTTGTAGTTTATAAGCCACTAAGACGTGTTTGACCAACATCTTATTTTGGCTTATAAGCCACCAAAAAATAAACCCAGCTTATTTTTTGGTGGCTTATAAGCCACGAAGCCCCTTGTTTTTAAAGAAAATTTTAAGCCTTTTCTATCTCTAACCCCATTAGAGTTTCCGACAACAAAAATAGATTATAAGCCACTGATTTGTCAAACGCTTTCCTATTAGAAATATATTATAATCCACAAAATTTATAAAACATTTTGGATTATAATCCACCTAGTTTGTAAGTCATCGTGGAAGATAAGTCTAGTAGATGACAATCCATAGTTCCCAAAGACACTCCGTCTTCGCTACCAACATAAACCTTAACATTACATGCAGAAAAATAAGGAGAAGAGGTCAACTTATGACCATCTAAATACATTTGAAAACTTTTTTTATTTATACGTGTCCACCATATTCTTCATTGGATTATTTGCATATACGCCATTTACATCATGGTATGAATTACCTTCTAAATTTTAGTATTTGCAGAACTATTTATCAAATCATCAACCTTGAAAATAAATACACGCAAATCAATCAATCAAACGTCAATTTTGATTAGACTAATTTGTAAGTATAATGTAAAAAAATATCAATAAATAACCAAATTATTACTCATCAAGTTGATGATTTTAATTTCAAAGGTTTTTTTTTTTCTCCCAAACTTGATGATTTGAATGATAGTTTTGTAAATACTTGAGATTTGAAAGATAATTATGCAAATATCTATGATTTAAGGGGTATGTATGCAAATAATCTTTTTTCAATTTAGGACAATTGCAGTTTAAACATGTTTCTTAAGGAAAAATATCTTAAAGCTATGCAAAATTTCAAGTAAACACAGCCATATTCCGGGTGTAAATTCAGAAATAAAAACTATATATACTACAAAGGCAAAAAAAAAAAAACACCTTTATTACATCCTCTCTCTGCTCTCCTCTTCTCTCTACCACATCACTACGCTAACTCAATCTCCCCCCCCCCCCCCCCCCCCCCCCCTCTTTCTTCCATGTCCCATTTCTTCAATCCTGCTACAAACTAAGCAACAGCAGCACAGATATCTCATTCTAAGCTCAAGTTTTCTTCTTTCAGCGGAAAGTTCGCTCCTTTGCTGGTCCAGATCTGAGGTCACATTGCACTTTCGTCGCCGGCAGTGGGACCCATTTCAGCACCCAAGCTCACCGGGATCTGCTCTCGCCGGGAGTTGTGGGTGTGGATTTGGGTGCGGATCTGGGTGCAATTTCTGTCGAGTCGCGGTTTTTTAAGGAGGAGTTTGTTTTTCGCTAGAGATCTGGAGAGTGAAGGTACTAAGCTTTGATTTTTCGTGCATTTTTTGTTGGATTTTTTGGAAGGGGTTAAGGTGAAAATATGCACCGATTGAAACCGGAAGTTGACTTTTCGGTCAAAGTTTGATCTTTGTATGGGTAGATTTGTTTTTCCTATTTTTCTACAGATTTTGGGCTATTGATGTTCGTTTTATTCTGCATTTTCTCCAGATTTTAGGAAATTTAAGTTTTAGAATTTAGATGGGAGATATGAAGGCATAAATTGAAACGGAAAATATGATGAGACGTCTCCCGAATTTTCCCGTTGTTCGTAGAGATTTGGGTTGATTTTACATGGGAGAGATGAAGGTTTATTTGAAAAAAAAGAAGAAGAAAAGATTGTGTGAGCAAAATTTGATCTTTTGTACTCTTGATTTAAAATTTGGAGTTTTAGTTGCTGCGTTTTGAAGTTTTATAAGGAACATGTAAACTTGGTGAAGAGTCTGATGCGAGAGAGAGAGAGAGAGAGAGAGAGAGAGAGAGAGAGAGAAGTGTTTAATTATGTAAGTGGCCTCTGAACTTAGTTATGGTTAAATAACGATTCTTCTCTTTTAGCTTATAAGAGATTCAATCAATGTGTTTGAAGAGATTAGATTTTCTCTCTGTAGTTTGTTTGTTTCGCAATTATCTCTTTTTTGAATTGCTTGTTCATGAAACTGAAAATTTTTCACTTATGCTTTTAATTTCTGCTTATTTTGTAGGCTTAAATAGTAAAACAGTTTGTTTTTCCTTTGGTGTCCTTTCATGAGACTTCAAATATTCGCTGGCTGTCTTCTGCTGTCTGCTCATCGTTTCAATTAATTTGATTGCTTTTGTTTTGGTGTCTTCTGTTGAATAATTGAATTGAAGATATTGTACAAATTGTTGTATATGCACATTGTTTGCTTTAAATTGCCTCTGTAACTTATTGTCTTAATTAATGATGGAGAATAGAGATTCCCGGTGATCATGTTGACAATATTAACGATAAAAATTGGTAGTTATGATCCAAATCTCTATGTGTCGACGTAAGTTTACATGTTTGTTTCATCTAGCATATGTGATCATCTACCTTTAATTGCTTCTGGCAACAGTAGCCTTGTTTGTTTAAAGTATTTCCAGTAGGATTAAGAGCTAGAGCCCTCATCCCTCATCCTTTTTTCTATGCAGCTGCTTTCTTGTCTTCAGAAATATGGCTTCTGATACTGCTCTAAGTCAAGGCCTATCTAAAAAGACGGGTCTCTTTGGCCTGAAGATATGGGTTGTGATTGGTATTGGCATTGGGCTTTTCATGTTTTGCGTCTTTGTAGTAATAGCAATATGTCTTTCTGTTCGGAATCGGAGGAGGTTAAGAAGAAGGGCTTCAGGTAATCTCCCGGTTAGTCAAATTCCAGCTGTTTCAAAAGAAATTAAGGAGGTAAGGGTAGAGCAAGTCTCATCTGATGGCTTTGTTCCACGTGATGGAATTCTACTTACAATCCACGATAAAACTAGCGATAATGACTCGGATAAGGTCATGCTTCATTTGGGCTTGGGTAAATCGAGGCATGGGGAGACTAATAGTCATTCAGGTTCCTTTCATCATGTGGATAAAGATGCTAGTTCTCAATCAGGGGAAGAAGGAGGTTCAGGGACATTTGGTGTCTATAGACCATCCTCTTCCTATCCAATAACAGCACCTTCACCTTTAGTTGGTCTCCCTGAGTTCTCTCATCTAGGTTGGGGTCACTGGTTTACATTAAGGGATTTGGAACTCGCTACTAATAGATTTGCAAAGGATAATGTCCTTGGTGAGGGTGGTTATGGAGTTGTCTACCGCGGTCATTTGATCAACGGGACTCCGGTTGCTGTTAAGAAGCTTCTCAATAACCTGTGAGTTCTTGGGCTTTGTGTGTTTGTGATAAATTGTTTATCTTACCAGGGAAGTTTCATTGTGACTTTCATCGAACTGTAGAGGCCAAGCTGAAAAGGAGTTCCGAGTGGAAGTTGAGGCCATTGGTCACGTACGACACAAAAACTTAGTTCGGCTCCTGGGTTATTGTGTGGAGGGCACCCAAAGGTATAAAATATTCTGCCTTTTGCTTTTTCATACAGAAGCTTTTCCCCCCCTTGTATATGTCTTTTGTGTGTTTCCATGTCAAATGCTTTGTGATTCGAACTGTACTCGATATAGTACTCCCCTTATACTTAATGATTATGTGATTTTGCTCTAAATTTATGATAAGCTATCCAATTATTATAATTTATATGCACTTGTAACATATCCTAACCTGAGTTTTTTGGTTTATTGTTTTTATGATGCTCAGGATGCTAGTTTATGAGTATGTCAATAACGGAAATCTGGAGCAGTGGCTTCATGGAGCCATGCGCCAGAGGGGTTTCCTCACTTGGGAGGCTCGTATAAAGATTCTCCTTGGAACTGCTAAGGCGTAAGTTAGAGCAAACAGGATTTTTTGGTTAATTATTTATCTAATTTGAACTTGCATACATTTCTATGGTCGTTGGTGGACTTTGTAGTTCATGATTACATAATTTACATGGTACGATTGTTACACTTTTACTAAAATTCAAATATCTTCCATTGATGACTATAATGAATGATTGTACGTTATAATTGCACATGTAGCGTCATTCTCCTTCTCAGTAACTTCCATTACTCCCTCCAACCTATCATGTGATCTTTTATTGACATGTTCACAAATTTTTTTCGAGAACCATGTATTCTAGACTTGATTCTAGTAAAATTTTGTTATTTTTGACAGTCTAGCCTACTTGCATGAAGCCATTGAGCCGAAAGTGGTGCATCGAGATATTAAATCCAGTAATATATTGATTGATGATGAATTTAATGCCAAAGTGTCAGACTTCGGTCTGGCTAAGCTTCTTGGTGCCGGGAAGAGTCACGTAACTACTCGAGTAATGGGGACATTTGGGTAGGTTTTCGATCAATATTTAATGCTTCATTTTCGTCCAGCTATATATTTATTTTAATCTCTTGACTGACATGTAAGTAATAAGAAGGAATATTGTTTCATAGATCAAACATGAATCAAATTTTACTGTATTTTGTTTAATCTTACATTTGTTGCTTGAAGGTACGTGGCACCCGAATATGCAAATACTGGACTTCTTAATGAAAAGAGCGATGTTTATAGCTTTGGCGTTGTCCTGTTGGAGGCCATTACAGGGAGAGATCCAGTGGACTATGGTCGCCCAACAAATGAGGTACAGAAGCATTCATCATGGTTCCAAATATAGACTTACATTTCACATTTATTGCGAAATTATTCAATTGTTTTACTTTTTCAAATGCTTTGGTTGGCTGCTTCTTGTTCATGCAATAATGATGATCTCCTTGCCCTTTAAACACCACTAATTCATTTAGCCATTTATGTCTCATGCTGTTTTAGCTTTCTAAATTTGTTTTCATTAATACATCACCCTTTATTTGGGAATGGGTAAGTTCTTGGAGTATCTACACCAACTGTGCATGCAGGACATGTAATGCATATACGATACCTTTTCTTCTGCACTTGTCGTTTGCATAAAGCTTAGTCTGGTATTTGGCTTTTAAATTAGTTCAATTCAATCCCACCTATATATATGCTTACTCTAGCAACTGGACTATTGTCAATTCAGGCCATTTCTTGTCCCATGGTTTTTTCCTCGTTGTGTTGCAGGTAAATCTTGTCGACTGGCTTAAAATGATGGTTGGCAGCAGGCGCTCAGAGGAGGTGGTGGACCCAAATATAGAGACGAAACCATCTACAAGAGCTCTCAAAAGGGCCCTTTTAACTGCTTTGAGGTGTGTTGATCCTGATTCAGAGAAGAGACCAAAGATGGGTCAGGTTGTCCGAATGTTGGAATCTGATGATCCAATTCCACGCGAGGTTTGGCTTCTGATCTCTCTTTTCTCTAGCAAATGGATGTACAAATCAGATTGTACTTAAAAAGACTGTCTACTCCTATATATCCCTCGTAACCTTTTTAAGAGAGATAGCCAAGCATCCTTTGGGATATAGGGCCGTGGGGATTCAACAGCTTCTTTTTGTTGTTGTTTTGTTTCGAAAAGGGAATATTTTCGCGTCTACTGGACTAAGTAGTTTCGTATCTGGAGATTTGTTTCATGCTTTAGTTCTGTGCACATTTTTCCACCAAGGATAGTGGTAGTTTGATATTGTACATCCTTAATCGTGATATCTTGCATATAGAAGTCCTAATATTGGAGTTCACCTCAGAATCGTTATCACCCTCTCAAATTCTTAAGAAATATTGTAGCTATATAATCTGGCTAATTTCATGTAAGTTCTTATTGACACTAAGCTCTCAACATTCAATATTTTCAATGGTGTTTGTGTTTATGCTTTCTTGGGTATCACGTACACTGTTGGTCTGATCAATCAAGGAAGCAAATTAGAGGGTGTCCGTTGTTAAACATGGCTCCTTTAGAAGTGGGCTGAAAAGTACCACTCTCCAGCTACTATGTACAGAATCCAGTTCTATGGACAAACTACACTATTGCCTGTTCATCAATTTGCCAGGTTAAAGCTGCACAGATGAAGGGAATCAAAGATTTTTTGTTCCATAATCTATTTTTCTGAGATATAATGCATATAAAAAACCATGAAATAATCAAAGAACGTATTTGCTTTATTAGTTCCCTTACACAAATGTCTCAACTTACAAGCTCAATTTCTCGTGCACCAGTTGTTTAATTTAGCTTTCTTTATATTCTTTCACTATTATCCCGAAGGTCCTGAATATCTGTTTAGTTCAGCTTTCTTTATATTCTTTCACTAATATCCTGAAGGTCCTTGACATCTCTTTCTTTTATTTACTTCACAAACATTTTTTATGTCAATGAAATGAATCCTTCTGAGAGTTTACAGGATCGAAGGCATAGAAGGACCCAAGCAGGGAGCTCAGAAATTGAGTTGCAGAGAGGCGAGAATTCTGATACCGATAAAAGCGATAATCCAGATTCCAAAGACTCCACCAGTATAAGGAACAGGCTGCCTTCAAACAAATGAGATGTACTTGAAGACTCTTCGAGGTAATTCAAGTCTACTTGCTCTCATTCTTTGGTAACCGCTTCGTCCTTTGGGTTACAACTGATCTGACACTCAAACTGAAGGCTTTACTGCTGCTCAAACCCAGATTTTAGACAGCAGCAGGCAAACCACTGTATTTTTCTTCCATATTTTCCTTCTTTTTATTGTTTTAGTGTACCTACGGTGTATTCGAAAGTGCTCAAGACTCTGTGTACAGTTTGTAGATCTTTGAAAGATTGATTCTTTTAATGACTTGGACCTATTTTAGATTGCTTGCTGAATTTGCATTCTGTTTCTGTTGAACTTTTAGTTAGTTTTATAAATACAGTGCAGTAACCATCACTTTCAGCTAAAGCTGGACCTAACCAGGACGTTTAAAGATTGATCATGACTTGGTATTAATGATGTCAATGCCTTTTGTTTTGGGGCACTGCTTTGAGTAGTAGTTGTTCCTTGGCTTTTTGTTGTCCATGGAAAAAGGTAGAAACTTTCGAGAGCATATGCTACTACATATCCTCCACTGAAGCAGGATTTTTAAAGGTTGTTATTTTAGCGGTTCAAATCGATTGAGATGGTTTAGTCATGTACAACGAAATATGATCATATTTAATTTAACGGAAGAGATGTCCCATAATAGAATGGATTAGAAAATCAGAATGGATTAGAAGTTGAGGATTTATGTAATTGACCCTAAACATTTGGGATAAAAGTTTTGATGTTGTTATTAACACTTTTGTGGTTTAAATTTTTAGCACGGTTTAATTCATGGGAAATTATAATGAATATTGTAGTTAGAGCTCTTTATCTATTGACAATGTAAATTCGAACGGTAGTTTGGGATGCATGCTATGAATTCTCATAACGTTAATTTCTGGTAAGGGCCTGTTCGTTTGCCCTAAAAAAAATAGGAAATCAAAGAAATGGAAAATAAAGAATTGTTTTGGAGTGTTCGGTTGGCTAAAAAAAAAGGAAATCAAAGAAATGGAGATGAGATGAGATGAGTTGTCACATTATTATTGGATGGTGTGAGTGATTTTTTAAGAAAACTAGTTTTGATGTTGTTCGGTTGGCAAAAAATTTAAGGAAATGAATTATAAGAAACCTATTTCCTGTAGTTTTCTTGTTTTCTTTTGTTCGGTTCATTCTTAAAAATAAGAATTGAAATGAGATGAGATGAGTTGTCATTGTATTATTGGTTGATGTGAAGAAAGATTAAGAAATGTGTTTTCACAACTTTTTGAGATGAAATGGAAGAAATGAAATGTTAATGAGATGAGGTGAATTGTTATAATATTTTATTCGATGATGTGAGTGATTTGAAATAATAAAAAGAGATGAGTTGAGTGATGTTTGGATGAAAATAATATTTTATTAGATGTGATGGATGTGTTGTTAGATAAAAATAATATTTTATTATATGTGGTGGATGAGTGGTTAGATGAAAATAATATTTTATTAGATGATGTGGATAAGTTGTTGGATGAAAATAATATTTTATTGGATGTTGTGGGTGAGTTTTAGGGATGGAAATGGAAGAAATGGGTTATTTTGAGATTTCCACTATTTCCATTTCCATTTCTTGCTTTTTTGAAAACAAACGAACAGCCCCTAAGGCACTATTGGGTACAAGGTGTTTTGTACAAAGCTAAGCTTATCTAGATCTAAAATTTATAAATAAGGGAAAACTGCCTTTATCTTTCAAAATTAGAAAAATCTGCCTGAACTATTGAAAATAATCAAAAATGGCGTTAACACGAGGGTAAAAGGTCTAAATTATCCTCCATCCTAGCGCTAAAAACATCGCATAACTAATTTTTACTTCCATCAATCATGGTATTTTAGTGAAACAACTTCAGAAGAGTCTAATTTATAAAGTCCAGGGAGTTTGTGCAAATACTCCAACTCAGCCTCCAAATACTAGTGAGTTTTGGTTTTGCAGTACAGTAGAATATTTATTTTTTTCCTGTTTTCTAGAATCTATTGATTTTGCAGCTTTTCTAAGCGAAGGCGCTGAAGCGGTCAATAACAACCACGAGCTAAGATGTCCACTGTCACCCAGTGGGCATCACGTACATAATTTCTCAAAACAGCTACATAATAGTGCCAGCATAACCACATCATTATTCTTCAGTTGAACGTGAAAATGGTGATTATTGCTTAAAAATTCATTATAAAATTCTCAACTACCTGCCTTCGATCTTTATTTTTATTTTTTATTTGGGAAAAAAGTAGCTGCCTTCATAATTAAGCTTTGGTTTTTCATTAGCGTTGAACAATTAAAAACGTATGAACATAAAACCACATGTTCAAAGCTAACCTTGTATTCATTAGTCTTAAGATGTTTTGGATTATTTAAATCCAGGCCATCTTGTAATGTGTAACAACACCTCTGAACTTAATTTATTTTTCCTTATTAAAGCAGAGAAGCTGGATATTGCTAACAGGGGCGGAGCTGAATGGGTGCCTCTGGGTTCCCAGGACACCAGTAAAAACTGAATATCTACCAGAGACAGGGGCGGAGCTGAATGGGTGCCTCTGGGTTCCCAGGACACCAGTAAAAACTGAATATCTACCAGAGAGCACATATAAAAATAACAAAAGTATTATCTACCAGAGAGCACATATAAAAATAACAAAAGTATAGATGGTTTAGCGGAAAAGGGTCTCAAGGAACTCAGCATGCGCGCGGGTTCGAATCTCGCAAGGAATCCATCATGCGCGTGGGTTCGAATTTTTTTAGCTTAATGATAGTTTGATGGCTAGTGTTGAGAGAGATGTATTTTCCACCATTACCGATGTATCTATAGGACACCATAAGATTAAAATCCTGGCTCCGCCACTGATTGCTAAACAGACCAAAATGAGCGGGAGGCATGAATGTGAAAACAATATGGTTTGCTAACCTTTATATTTTAATAGCAAAATACTTCTAAAAAAACCCATAGGCAATCATCCCGGTTAATCTGTAGTTTTTAATATTTATTTGGAGAAGACTTTTTAATATTTGGTTCATCATGAAATCGAACCTTGAAATGGGTTCCCACATTTTCTGTAGTTTGGATGGGATTTTAGAAAAAAAAGAAGAAGAAGAACAAGTTTTTGGTGAACTAACTCTCCTCAATTTCTTTTATTTGTTTGGTTTGGAAACATCATTAAAACTAGTTCTCTGATCATCATGGGCAACCGCACCCAAATGGCCCAACTTTTTATTAGTAAATATTACATTTTAAATCCATTTCGGAGCTTTTATCTATGAAATGGGTTTCACGTTTTGGCTGATGTGCATAGCTTTTCAAGGGGCATTTTTACATAAATAACCAAGCGAAGCAAATGGATGAAAGTAAAATTTTTTTTTTTTTGGGATTTAGATTACCGTGGATAATGTGATGGACCTGGAAGCCAATTTCATGGGCTTGTCGAGANGCCGCTAAGTCAAAATTAATACACTAAAGTATTATGAAGTAACTGGCATATAATTTGATACGGACGTGCATTTATAGTAGAAAGGTCTTTGCTACGTAACTTTGGATGTAAATCCCAGTCTCCATTATGGGTGAGCTTTGGGGTTTAGTAAATGTGGGCCGATGATACTTGATGCGCATGAATCCAAAGTCTCGTTTTATTTTGAACTTTATAGAAACAAACGTGTTGCCCAACGATAGCTGCTGGTCATATTCCGGCCCATGCCGTCTGCATGTTGTTGGTTCCAGAGTTACGATTCAGGTATTGACTCCCGAGGCCCAATCCCACACGCCTAATTGTGTTAAAATTTTCTTTATATATTTATACTATATATATATATAATATATATATATATATATATATATACTATATATATATATATATATATATATTATATTATTATATATATAGACTAGAGCAAAACTTCTGTCAACTTAAAGTGCGCGTCCACTTAAGTTTCTGTATCCATTGCATGATCACTTGATTGAGCCCTAATGTGGATGATCCATTCCGTTTCAAACTTGATCTACATATTCTAAAACACCAACCACCAAAACTTTGGGGTGAACCCGCTCGTAGTTTCTGGACCCTTCATCCATCTCGTTATCCAATTTTAACGCCGCTTTCGAGTGAATAGCGAACTTTTTACATTTGCTCGACGGAGGGGTCAAACCACAACGAGTTCACACCAAATTGTGGTGTGTTGGGGCTTTAGAATATGTAGATTCAAGTTTAACGGAACGGATCATCCACAATGTAGCTCAATCAAGTAATCATCAATGGATAAGAAACTCATGTGGACGTCCACTTAAAGTTGACAGAAGTTTTGCTATATATATATATATACTATATATATATATATATATATATATATTATATATATATATATATATATATATATATATATTATTATATAGAGTAAGACTCCTATCAACTTAAGTTGATGTCCACCAAAGTTTTGTAGCCAATATTTATTAATATAAAACACCTTTTTATATAATACATGGATCCCTAGGCAATATGAGTGGTTTAAAAACTTATTGGTGTATCTATCACTATTATCCCTATATCCACGTTAAGATTGCACACAAGCTTTTCACCTATATATATATATATATTATAATATATATACTAATATATATTATATATATATATATATATAAAAATTCACAATGTAAAATCCTTTTAAGTTTATTATTATCAATCTTGAAGTTTGAATTCTGGCTATGGCTTTTGTTCCATTGAGCTTCTATCTGCTCATTGCTCAGAATAGAGGCTAAAAGGCACTATGCTATTATAGACCAAATTAGGAATTAATTTAATTAACTTAAGTTTAAATCACAATTATTTAACAGGAAATACGAACAAAGATCGAAGACATTTTTTAACAGAAATTTTGAGGTAGGCTAATCCAATGGCAGATAATTAGAATTAGAGGTAAGTTAACAAATAGTCAAATTTGAGAGTTAATCTTCAAATAGAATCGATCTGAGCGTACATAGGTAAAAAGCCCAATATATAAAATCAAGGGATTTTTCAATCTTAGTGCCTTAAATCTTTCATTGTTTGAAATTAGTGCTTCACATCATGGAAATTGCATTAGATCCCTAAAATCTCAAGTTATTTTGAATTAGTTCCTTAATTTATTGAAATTACTTTAGGTTTCCCAATTCCTAATTTATTTTAAAATTAGTCCCGCGGAACAGGAGTGCAAATAGCAAATAGAGACAAAGTAGTTGCACAAAATCATTGAAATTGCTATCAATGTCTTATAAGTTGCTTTAAATTAGTACTGCTGGTTCTCAGTTCTATTTTTTGG